CCCTTCCTAACCCCTCAGTTCGAAAAACGATGACCGGAAGATACCAGTAAGAGGGGACATGGAGCTTTGGGGGTTTAGTGTTTATAAGAGCGCGGATTTATTCTTTGGGGCCAGAGGCCGGACCGCTCAACCTGGGCTGGGGCAATTCAGACGTCAGGGTTCGTACGATCTTCGCTTCCAAGAAGATTTCGGGCTGCCTGGTCTTCGGATGCAGAGAGTGAGTGCGCTTCTGCCAAGGTACCCAGAGACTCCAACATCCCTTAATTAAGGACAACACCTTAAATCATATTAAGGATCCTACTATAAGTTAAGGAATATTCCTTCATTAAGGAATATTGGACTCTCTGGGTAAGAAACTACCACAATCTTAGGAACACCCGAAGGGAAAAAAGTCCCTGTACCCCGAGAGCTTCGAGGTAGCAGCCGGACCTCCACCTTCCCTAAACCCCCCCTTTGAAGGCTTAGGTTGGTTGGTTCAGGGTTTAGGTTTTGGGGTTTTGGTCTCAGGGATGCTGATAGATTTGGGTTTCGGTGGTTATTTTCATTTCCTTATGCTAAGCTGCTGCTATAGGGGCCTTCAGAAGTGTTTTGGGCTCCTTCGACAAGATTTCTTCCGGCTGTAAAATTAGAGCCAGATTTCGAGGTAGCTTATGCTGTGATTGTGATTACAAGAGGGACTTCAAGAGATGAGTATTGCTGACACTTACTATTCCCATGTCGGATTTATTTGGGAGAACCAGCGAGTTCAAAGTTTTGCCGTGCCTGGCTAGGACATTCTGGAACCGAGGTATTGTTTTCGTTGCTGGCGGTGGGTGGGACATAGTCTTCCAAGGCGTTAATCCGATAAGTCGAACAAGAGTATGTTATTCACGCAGGCAGGAGTTTTCTGATCACGGACTGCAGACACGGACGGAACACGTACACAAACCAGCTCAATGGAAATACTCAAACTCTTGAACACCCTTGCCAAATACTATGCCCCCCGCGTGTGTGGCAGCGGGGTATTTTTAAGATACACGAGAGAACGGTTGCACAGGTGCCGGTGGGAACCGAAGCAAGAGAGACGGCCCATGTTTTCACAGGGACCCTGTGGGGGGTAAGGGGGACTATACTTCCTTCAACAGGCCTTCATTAGGTCTTTATAACAGGCATTAAGCCCCGCTACCCCCCGCCCCCCTATCCCCGTAAGGGTCTTTATGATGTTTCCAGGCATGGTGTCCTTCATCGCAGAGTTCTACAGTCTTCTTCCGCGGAGTGCGCGCTTCCTGTTTGCCTCCAACCTTGATGACAGAATTTGGCTGACGTTTACGCAACCTACAGGACCTCCAAGCTAAACCCTAAACCCTAAACCCTAAACCCTAAACCCAAAGCTTTCACGAACTGCAGCGTGCCGAAAGCTAAGCTGTCGTGCAAAGAACCCTTTGAAAGGCGGGATATTTATGTGGGTGGTTGTCAAAATTATGGTCCCTTTTTGGGTCCTTATTATAATACGGCACCTATTATTTAGGGTACCCCAAAAGGGGCCCCTAATTTTGACAACTACCCTTATGTTTCGGCACCCATCCAAGGTGTAGGTTGAGGGTCACAACAAGGTCTGAGTGCGCGTGCAAAAACAGAGTCCAAGAACCCTGCACAACCCCTTCGGCACCAAGTACAACCCTAAATCGGAGTGCAAAAAACCATACAAGGAATACTAGAAGTACCGCTGAGCAAGGTCCTAATTACCCTAACCCAGACCCCAAAAAGTATCTAAAAAATAGATCCCCTAATTAGGGACCCTAACTACTAAAGGGTACTTTATAGGAACCCGCTTAGGGGATCTATTTTTTAGATCCTTTTGGGGGGTTTGGGAATGTCCTGAGGCCTCAAACCTTGAAGCGCAGCTCCCGCACAAAGCAGCTGAGCCCCCCGACATGCTCCGAAGACAGCCTCGGGTCTCGAGGGTTTAGGGTCTACGGTTCAGGGTTGAGGGCTTAAGGGCTGGAACAGGCGGGATGTTAAGCCCTGAAACCCTCAGCCGGTGCCTTGATCCGTCTTATTCTGCCCTGGGGGTTCGGGGTTTAGCCGAAGCCAGGGAGGGTTGTTTACATCTTCTCGCTTTGTGCAGTTAGGGTTCAAGGTTTTCATGGGGCCTAGACCCTAGACTGGTTTAGGCTAGTTTAAGGTTTGCAGTATAGTTGGGACTTTAGGAGATGTCGTGTCGGGTTCAGGGCATCCGAAACAACCGCAGGCTTAAGCAGCATGCGGTTCAAGGCTTGGGCCTGGGGTTTATGGCTTAGGGCTTGGGGTTATGCAGAGCTTTGGTTGTCTTTGACTTAGCTAGCTAGCTAGCTAGCTAGCTAGCTAGCTAGCTGGAGGGCTAAGTAGTAGAGGGGTCTCAGAAGCTTGGAATAGGGTTTAGGGTTTAGGGGGGTCTCAGAAGCTTGGAATAGGTTCCGGCGGTATGATTTGGCAGTATAAAGCATGTTAGGGAATGCAGGTAGGCAGGGTTCTAGGCTCAGGCTGTGACGACCAAGGATTTTCTGAGTTAAAAAACCCTAAACCCAGACCCGAAACCCGAAACCCTAAACCCCCAACCCTAAACCCTAAACCCTCCAAGGACATAGCAGTCCTGCATCTGATCCGACTCAGCTCACTAGCACGTTCGGTGTCTCCAACAGTCCGAAACCTTAAGATTCTAAACCTGAACGAAGTCTTGAACACTTAGGGTTTAGGGTTCAGGGTTTAGGGGTTTTGGTTTAGGCTTTAAGGATGTTTAAGGTTTAGGAGCTTAGGGTTTAGGGTTCAGGGTTTAGGGTTTTTGGTTTAGGCGTTAAGGATGTTTAAGGTTTTGGGTTTAGGGTTCAGGGTTTAGGGTTTGGGGTTGGAAACTCAGCTACTTAGACGGCAGCCCAGCGGCCAAAGCATCAGCCAATCGCACATGATGGGCTTCACCTTCGAATCCAAGGCACTCAAAGCACCACTTTCCTGGATTGCCCCCGGAATCTACTGGTCGCAAGCATCAGCAACAAGTGTCCCGTTACAACGCCGCTAGTGCCAAGAAACTTTTCTTGAAGACCCGATTACTCGATTCTGATACGTAAGGCCACTTGATTCGATCCCGGGTCTCGCCTACGTCGACATCAGATTTTCAGTCCTGTCCCATATTGCAACCCCTAAGGCTCCATGTACCTTTATAGAAGACACTTAGGCCTTAAAGTTCCTATATAGGGACCCCTTTAAGGCCTAAGTATCTACTATAAAGGTACATGGAGCCTTTGGCAACATCCGGAGAGAGCGTCATTTTAACATCCCCCTAACTCCAATCCGAGGCGGCCACGCGTAAGTAAACATCATGGATGCCGTGTAGACACTGCTCGACACTTCTACTACTACTACTACTACTACTACTACTACTACTACTACTACCACTGCTTTTGCTACTGCTACTACTGCTTGCTGCTGGTGGCTTCCAGATATGCCTTGAAGATTGATATTCTTGTCTTGCATCCCTCGCACTGGTTAGCAGTCCAACTACCATGGCAGCCCTTAATCTAAGGTAGAACCCATGGGCCCCTAGTATGGGCCCTTAACCCTGGGACCCTAATATATTTACTATATACCCTATATATACCCTTAAGGGACCCTAGGATCCTTCAAGGGTCCATGTTAGGGGCCCCTGGGTTCAACCTTAGACTTAACCATAAAGTCCTGAAAGGCGGATCCTTACACCGACTATTGCCATGCAGTCTGCGAGAAGTCGTATTACCAATTGCTGTGGCTCTGACTACAAGCCCCGTAAACCCAAAAACTCCAAGCCCGAAGCCACACATCGTTCCGGGTTTAGGGTTCCGGGTTTAGGGGTAGATCTCGGCTGCTTGGACGACTAAGGCGTAGCATTCCATAACAGAACCACATTCCTGAGGCCTGAATCAAGCGGACCCTAAACCTAAACCGGCATTCCTCAGCACAAGGTGAGCTGACTGAGGGTCGCAAGGCTCACAAGATCTAAACCCTAAACCCTAAACCAAAAGCCCCCAAGATGTCGGAGAATTCTCCTGGCTTTGCGGAATTTCGGCTTGGGCGCTGAGGTTCGGTGTGTGGGATAAGGTTCTGAAATCCCCAAAGCCTGCACCTGCTGTTGATGATCTAAACCCTGCATTACCTGAAGGACCCTAAACTAAGGGAAGTTAAGGAATACCCCTAAACCCTAAACCCTTACTATAGGTCCCGCAGGATTTAGATCATCAGCCGTAGTAGATTTATTATATTAAGGAACCACCAAAATAATATAGGTAATCATTTAAGGCCCTATATTACCGACTAAAGCCAGAGGTCAAGGCGAACCCCGGGCACGAAACCCGAAGACCCCTTTTGCCCGGAACTCTTAAGTGAGAAAACCTGCCCGCATATACGGTAACAGTCTATGATAGGGCTGGTAGGGTTAGGGTTTAGGGTTTAGGGTTTAGGGTTTAGTCTCTATACTACGAAGATCATTCAACTGGTACTGAATGGGGGCAGCATCCACACTCTAAGTTCAGCCCATAACCCGGAGACTCCAACATCCCCTAATTAAGGAATATTCCTTAAATTATAGTAGGATCCTTAATATGATTTAAAGTATATTCCTTAACTAAGGGGCATTGGAGTCTCGCCTCGCGATGCTAGAAGTCTTTAGCTTTGCTGAGTTCAGAAGCCCCAAAAAGGTTTTTAACTGTCGGTCCTTCAGCTTACTTCCCCAATAAGCCAGGAAAATAAAAAGGTTAACGTGTCAGATTACTACTAAGTTATAAGAACCCAAAAGTTAAAAGGTTGGGTATTGGAGAGC